TGTCTTGTTTCCAACTGAGGACTAGGCCAACCAATAGTGTGTGGGCACGGCTCAGGCATTTAAAAGCCGTTAGGGCGCCTGCCACATGAAGACACCCATGTGTGGCTAAGGGGGACACAGAATGGATCAGACCACAAGGGCATCCGCCCCCAGCAAGGCAACTTGCATGCACTGTGGCAGGCACATAGTGGTTGAAGCAAAACAGAGACCATTGCCCCCTGGCCACCGCCTCCCCGATAGGATTGTAAGGCGGATTCCTCAGCCTTCTTCCCTGTGACTGTCACATCTTTCCCTTTCGGTCCAGGTTGATTTACAGGAGCCTAGGTGTTGCCTCTGAGCCATCCCAAGAGTCCTTCTACATTGCGGGGACTCGCCAAACAGTGAGTCACCCGGTTGCTCCCAGGAATCTCTGTCTTTCTTTGCCCGGGTCTCAGGGCGCCCTAGCCACATGGTTCTCAGAGGTCATCACTCACTGTCAGACGCGACTGTTGGGACGGTCGGCCATTTTTGTGCCATTAGTCACAAGGAGAGATCCCTGGGACTAAAGGGATGCCTTTCTGTCAGCCGGTGACTCTCAGTACCCCCATTCTACGGCAGGTAGGCTAAGAGTGGGTTCTGGGACGTCCTGGGAGCCTCTCTCAGACTCACTATATGAGTCTTGACTATATTCTCAGAAAATGGAAAATTTTGACCCTGCAAAAGGCCTGGCCGCACTACAAACTGGGGGACCCCCCCCCAAAAAAAAGTGGCCTCTGAATGGCACACTAGCTTTTGCCAAAAGCAGGGGAAGGACTCAGAATTTCCTTGCATTCAGTCCTTCATGGCCCTCAGTCAGAATCCGGATTTGAGGGGCTCAGGCCACACGTGTCTTTCTGTTGCCTCCCTATCTCCCATCGCCCTCTGTCTCTCTCCATCAGATTTCCTAGACAACCCCTGCTCGACCTTTCCTATCCACATGATCCGTAGGAAAGGATTCTGAGGTTCCCTTTGGTCCAGGTCTTCCTCCTATATTCAAAAGCCTGAAGGATCAAAAACTCTCCTGTATACTTCAAAACCAGTTCTTTTTGCACATGCAATTAAAAACAACTAGCTTGTTAAAAAGCCTGTCTAAGGAAAAGCTTGAAGTTAACCCTTTCCATGTCCCTGAAATACACAGCCTACTTGGCCTGAGACCTCAACCTTGGGCAAATTAGAACTTCAAAAAAAAAAAAGGTGGGGGAGTGGGTGTCACAGAGACATTTTAAATCTCAAGCAGAAAACTATGAGATCTCTGCCTGTCTGGATTTATGTATGTCTCAGTGTGTGTCTTTTGGGGTTTTTTTTTTTTTTAGTAATATTGTTGAAGTTGTAAATAAGTTCTAATTTAATTGGCCTAAAGAAAAGTAAGCACTTACAAATCAAACAGTTCTAAATACAAGAGACATTAACCTAAATGAATTTCAGATTCACATGAACTGGAAAATATTCAATATTAAATAGTATAAATGTTTGCTAATATATAGACATGTCTAAGAGTTGTTAACATTAAGCATACTATTTTCATTGTGCCTAGGTTTATTATAAGTTAAATATTGTTATATTGTTATCTCTGTTACAAATTTGTCAGCAAGGAAGGTAACTCAAGTGAAGAAACTTTTAAAAAAGAAAAATATAAATGAGACAAGAGCTTTTAGTTAAACTGTTAAGAATAAGTATACTTTAGGAATGTCTGTCTAAAATAGTCTCTCCAGATTGGGGTAACTTGAATTTCTAGGGTTGTGCTAAACTAAGTGATGAAAGTTTACTGAATAGCTAGGTCATTTCCAAATAAAATAAGATTCTGAAACAATTCATTACTGAACACTAACTTCCTCATACACAGAAACTAAAGAGATTTTGGACTATTAATGAATAATGTTTGATACCATCCTGAGATGTTCTCTAGAATTTTTTTTTTTTAGAAATTATCACTGGTATTTATGTTCACCAATCTATAGAATGCTAATATATATAAGGTCAATTCTTGGTTGCTTAAGGAAAGCAGGATGTGTGTTTTCAGTCAAGAAGGTATGAGAAATGAAATTACATTTTTTGAAGGGAAAAGGAAGTAGGTCTGACTTACAGGTGGCTGTTTTAGGATGGCAGAACAAAGTAATGGGTACAGAACATGATAAGAAGGTTTTTATGGAAAGTGGACCCCAAAGGGAAGAGTTTTTGTGCATAAAGACAAGTTTTCTTGAGATGCTGAACTGCCTTTGATAATGGATTTTAAGTTTCTTTACCTCTGAAGTGGTCTGTTCTATGTTTACCTTTGAAATCTTCTTTTTTACTTTGGCTAAATGAATATACTGTTTCACAGTGATCTATATGATCCTATTTGTTTGAGTGTTATAACCCTTTTGATATTTATCAACAAAATTTCCTAAATAACTTGATTTCTAGCTAACTTTGGGATGCCTCAGAGGGCCCCTGAGACATCCAAAAGTGCTATTAAAATACCTGAGTTCATTTGACATGTTAAATTACATGGGACGTATTGTTGGAGGAGTGACGAATTTTCTCAGGTTTTATTGTATGGTTGCTATTACTTATGTGGATATCCTAGAAATTATGTGAAATTCATGAAAATCTGATATGTCCTGGTTAAATGTTGTCAGTTATAATTCTAGTTATCATGTTAAACTGTTACAAGTCACAGCAATGACCAGGCTACTTTGTCAATTGCAGTTTAATTAGATTTTAAACATGCCTTCTATGGTTTCACTCTCATGCCTTTAGAAGAATACTGCTAGTTCTTCAAGATTTATGGAAAAGACTTTTCTAAGATTAACTAATAAATTTTGTTATCTGGTAAACTGGTAACAGACTAGAATTTAGTCTATTCTCTGTTAAGAGAACAAAGTTTTCTTAGAATGAAGGTTTCAATAACAGATTATGAACTTCTTTGCATTTAAGTGATTTATATTTGTTTTTAAAACCTTTTGTTACTTTGCTAAACTAAGTAAACATTATTTCAGTTTATGTTACGTGTAGGCAAAGCTCATTCTGCTTCTACAAAAATAAGCCCTCACTGTTAGACCTTTGCTATCCTGATGTCCTTAAACAGGCAACAGTCTATTCCTAAATCAGGGAATTAAAAATGCGTGTCAATAGCTGAAAATCAGAGAATCAGCGCTATGAGAAATCCAAGACAGCCACATGGCTTTTCCTGGCTCCCTGACAAACCTCATTTTTATTGGATGGGTTAAAGCCTTCCCTGGCTACAGAGTTAATGCCCTCATAATGAAAATATCATGTTTCATTGAATATTAAGTTTTGTTAATTGTTAAACTAAGTTTCTAGTTTTGTTAATTAAGATCNGGCCTTCAGATAGTTAGATGTTTTCAGGTAAAGATTTTATGAGCCCAAATCCTTGTGTCTTCTCATACCTAGAGAAACACTAATGTCACAAACCATTGCCTGGTCTTGGTTCTCCTGGCTAGCCCTTGAGCAGCTTTTCTGCTTCTATTAATCTTTGGGCCGTGTACCTCTAACTTTCTTGTTAGGTTTGTTTCTTCTAAAATACAACAAATCTCCCAGTGGTAGTATGACAAGAATATTCCCTGACCAACACCTAGACAATGCTGAAACAAGTCACCTTATCACTCCATGGACTTTCTTCTCCCTCTGTAAATTCATCCTGACAGAGTAGGCAAAGGGAACCCAGAGCCCCATGACACCCCTGTACAGCCTGAAGAAGTCAGAGTGGTCATCGCCCCTTTTCTTTTGAGACTGCCTGGGAAGGGAAATAGGTAGATAGTTAGACATGAGCAGGGTATCAAAGGGGCCAAAGAATTGATCCGAAAAACAGAGAGAGAGAGAGGAACGTGGTGACCCAAGGACGAAAGAGCAGATAAAACCAAGGAGGGTCTTAGAATGCAGGAACTGAAGAACCAGACCCTTAGCATCCTTCCCTCCCGCATGTTGTAACTATAGTGGAACAGTATAACCTGTCTCCCCTCCTACCCCATAGGGAGGAGGTCTCTGCCCTCCTCTTCCCCACCCCGTATACGTGCCTCATCCCATCAGCACATGACCCACAAGACCCCACTCCTTGTACCCTGGGTATAAAAGTGGACTAAGGACCCCGGGTCAACTTCCGTTCTCCCTTGAGCTGGCCCACTGTTCTAACAACGTTTCCCACTCTAATAATCTTTATTTCCCTCTCATTCTGTCTCATATCTGGAAATTCTTTTCCAACCCATGCCCGGACCATGACAACCTAGAGGCTGAAAGAGAAGCCAAGAGGAGCCACTGATTCTGCCTTTAGTGTTCACTCAGGCACAGTGATTGCAAAGAGACACCTGCTGGCTGGATTGGCCCTCTAATAAGTTATATTTTGGCCATACTGTGCCTTCAAATCTAGAATTAGTTACCAACATTTAAAACTTAAGTAGTTGCCCATAGGGGCTTCCATGGTGACTCAGATGGTAAAGAACCTGCCTGCCAATGCAGGAGACCCAGGTTTAATCCCTGGTCTGGGAAGATCCCCTAGAGAAGGAAATGGCAACCCACTCCAGTACTTTTGCCTTGGAAATCCCATGGACAGAGGAACCTGGCAGGCTACAGCCTATGGGGACATGACTTAGTGACTAAACAACAACGAAGTTGCCCATGGAGTCTGGATGTCTAGCCTGCATTCTCAGAAGGCAGCGGTTCGCTGGAGCTCACAGGGCTGTGGGCAGGCTGGTACTCGCTAGGCTCCACAGTCCTCACCCTATCCTTCCATTACATTCCTCAGATACCCGCCTTCCTCTAGCGCAGGCTAAGAAGTCTGTTAGCTCAGGAGCAGTCTAGGTCAACCCGCTGAGGGAGCACATTGAGACTGGAGGCCACAGTCCAGGCTCAACACCAAGGGCTTCTTTGCTTGGTTTGGTCCCATGGGCAGCTCTCCCTGGGGCAGTGGGCAGGGGAGATGGAAGCCACCACAGGTGCCTGGGATCCTGGCCTCATCCTCCATAGAGATGCAACCAAATGCTCACCCGCATAAACTCCACACTGTTGTCCAAGGGGGTTTCCTGGCGAAAGAGCAGAAGAAAGTTTTCATCCTCAGATAAGAACATGCCGGCAAGCTAAAGAAAAGGGGAGAAATAGCAGTTGTTGACATTGACCAGTGGCACAGAGCAACATATTAGAGGGCAGAAGGGCTTAGAACTCTCAGGATGGTGAGCTCAGCATGCAGTCCTGTGCCCTCAATTGTCATTTTGGATTCATTGATTCTTTCAAGAAGTATTGGGCACTCTTACTAGATATGAAACACTAAGAGTATCTGTTTTCTATGAGCTTACAATCCAAAATCATCATCATTATTTAATAATAAATGTTAGTATTTAAAATGTTCCACACTTTGTCTTAGAAGCTCCAGTGTTAACAGCTACACATATTAGAAACGAAAAATACCAAATAACTTTTTTAGAATTAACAATCACTAATGTTTATTGAGCATTTACTGCAAGCCAGGCACTGTGCTAAGTAAACTGGCATTTTTCTTTAATTTATTTTTGGTTGCTGGGTCTTCATTGCTGTGCAGGCTTTCTCTATTTGCAGTGAGCTGGGGAACTACTCTTCCTGGCAATGTGCAGGCTTATTGCAGTGGCTTCTCTTGTTGTAAAGCACGGGTTGTAAACACGAAGGCCTCAGTAGTTTAGGTGCACAGGCTCAGCTGCCCCATGGCACGTGGGATCTTCCTGTGTCCCCTGAATTGGCAGGCAGATTCTTAACTGCTAGACCACCAGGGTTTGGTTTTGTTTTTTAATATATATATATTCTTTATTTGGCTGTGCTGGGTCTTAGTTGTGGCACTCGAGATCTCTCTGCATTGTGGCATGCAAACTCTTAGTAGCAGCATGTAAAATCTAGGCCGCCTGCACGAGGGGTGTCAGGTCTTAGCCACTAGACTGCCAGGGAAGTACCCCAAATAATTTTGATATGTCCTATGAATTTTTCTGTGGGCTTTCCTTGTGGCTCAGACAGCAAAGAATCCACCTGCCAATGCAACCCAGGTTCCATCCCCTGGAGAAGGGAATGGCAACCTATTCCAGTATTCTTGCCTGGAGAATTCCATGGAGAGAGAAGCCTGGTGAGCTGCAGTCCATGGGGTCGCACAGAGTCAGACACGACTGAATGACTAACACACATACACACTCTCCCCTAGACCCTCAATCCTTGAACTTTACCCTCTGAAAATTGAGCTGTCTTCCTTTTTCTCATATCTTTCTTCTGCCTTCCTCCTTCGGTGCCCGCATGTGATCCAGGATCTCAGGTAGATCCTCAGAGAATGGACTTTTCTGCAGATTGTCCCCTTGTCCAGGGAGAGGCAAGTGTCCTTAACAGAAGGTAAGTGACGGTTGCCATCTGCNCGGGTTCGATCTTGGGTTGGGAAGATCCCTGGGGAAGGAAATGGCAACCTACTCCAGTATTCTTGCCTGGAGAATCCCATGGACAGAGGAGTTTGGTGGGCTACAGTCCATGGGGTTGCAGTATTAGAGGGTGTTTGAGTGTGTTTTGAGTTCTCAGTTCTCCCTCATAAACCACAGCCATTCATTCTATAATCATTGTTCTCTCGGCGCCTTGTATAATGCCACAGAGTGACTCCAGAGCAAATACTTCAGATGGGTTGTAGGAATAATTCTATATATAGAATTATATTCTATATATATTATATATATATATTCTTATATATATATATTCTCTAGTTGAATGTAAGTCAGTTGAAGGATATATCATGTGAACAACAGCTGTCATATATTGAGTACCTACTACCTGGCAGGCACTGGTGATGTGCTTTTCATTTATTATCTCATTAAATTCTCATGCCAGTCCTTCAGATAAATAAGAATATCCCCCATTTTACTAATGAGAGACAGCACAGTGCAGGATGTGGTAGGCTTTCATGTAGATCCAAATTCTTTCTCTGTCATCACCTATTATTTGATCTTGGACAATTTAATTGATGCCTCTGTGCCCCAATTTCCTCATTTGTAAAATGTTCAGGTTTTTGTAATTGTTTAGTTGCTCAGTCGTGTCCAACTCTTTGTGACCCCATGGACTGCAGCACACCAGGCTTCCCTGTCCTTCACTGTCTCTGGAGTTTGCTTAAACTCATGTCCATTGAATTGGTGATGCCATCCAGCCACCTCATAGGATATAATATTTATATCCTGGTGTTTATGTGAAGACTGAGAGTAAGATGAGGCACTATTTGTGAACTGTTTAACAGAGTCCCTGGTACCTATTAAAAATTTAGTCAATGGTAACTGCACTGTGGATGTAGATGATGAACTTGAGGCTCACAGAGATGAAGTCACTGACCCAAGGTTTCATATTTCACCATGTTGACTTTGTGCTGTTCCTACCCACCCACACAAGGTCAACTGGAACTGAGAACTGCTCTTTAGGACTAAGTGTTTTTTCATATAGAGTGGCACAGGCTGAGAAACCAAATTAAAATGTAATTCACTGGCCCTGATTAGAACCCTCTCTGTCTTCAATTTGTCTGGAATGGCACAGAGGAGCCCTGGGCAAGTCAAGTACATAGATCATCCTCCTGCCTCACTTTGGCTCTCACTTATGACTCCTTTCTCATTTTATTTTGTGCTAAAATATTGAAAATATGTGCGTGAATGCCCATTAGTATCAGACTCTTTGTGAGCCCATGGACTGTAGCCCACCAGGCTCCTCTGTCCATGGAATTCTCCTGGAGTAAGAAGTGGCAACCTGCTCCAGTGTTCTTGCCTGGAAAATTGCATGGAGAGAGGAACCTAGAGGGCAAGAATACTGCAGTGGGTTGGCATTTCCTTCTCTGGGGAATCTTCCTGACCCAGGGATTGAACTCAGATCTCCTGCATTGTCAGGGAGATTCTTTACCTACTTTAGCTTGCTTACTTTCAACGCTGCTACCAGAAAAGCTACATTCTGTTTCATATCTCCATCTGCTATCATTGTTCTCTGTTGTTGAATAGTTTAAAAACATCTACTGATTAAGGATTCATTTCAGATACACCATCTAATTTCTATAATTTTTTTAATCTCTGGGGCACTTTGCCAAATGGAGATCATATTTGTCATCTGTATTCCAAGGGCTTCGGAGTCTTTATCTGTGTAATGCTTATAAGCTTGATAAATCCTCTCTAGAAACTCTGATGGATCCTCAGTTTGTCTCCTGAATCTTGTTTAGGCTCTTTTGTCTAGATACCCCACTGGGTTTTCTCTCAGATCTTCATATCATAAGATGGTAGTCCTCTGACTCCTTTTTCTCCTGATGCAATAGTATAAACGCTTTTATATATGGAACCTCATCTCTTTTTCCCTGCTCTTTTCCTCTGCCCATGGAATTCTCCATGCAAGAATACTGGAGTGGGTAGTCATTCCCTTCTCCAGGGGATCTTCCCGACCCAGGGATCAAACCCAGGTCTCCTGCATTGTGGGCAGATTCTTTACCATCTGAGCCACCAGGAAAGCCCAAAATGTGTGCTGATGGGCTGATTTTTATGTCACAACTACCTGTAACTGAAGTAACCATAATAGTCAATGAAAAAGCCAGAGGCAGTAGAAGAGACCTTGCTACAACTCTTAATCCTCACAGACTCAGGAGTTTTTAAGGGGCTTTGGGACCAGAATTGTCCTATACTATCAGCTTCTCTACAAATAGTATCAATTATGCCTATTAGCAGGACTCCATGATAGAATGATTAGCATGGGTGTCACAGTTGTTGCCAGGTTCCCAGTTGCTTTAGGAATTGGTAAGAAAGAAAATGGCAAAGTTTTTCACTATTTACCATGTTTCATTCATTTATTATTATCAAATAATTGGGGCTTCCCAGGTGGTGCAGTGGTAAAGAATCCACCAGCTAATGCAAAATGTGCCAGAGACAAGGGTTCGATCCCTGGCTTGGGAAGATCTCCTGGATTAAGAAGTAGCAACCCACTCCAATGTTCTTGGCCTGGAAAAGTCCATGGATAGAGGAACCTGGAAGGCTACAGTTCATGGGGTCAAAAAGAGGTGGACATGACCGAGCAACTGAGCAGGCACACCCACGTAACAAATATTTACTAAGCATCCCTATGCACTGTGCTCTGTTCTGTGGGCAGAAGGATGCAACCATGAACATGTCATTATGAATACTTTGATATTTTTACCTGAAACTTGCAATTATATTTCCATTAATGAAGACATTGCTACTTTTACACAAATTGCAATGCAATTATTGGTTATATAATTTTTTTGCCTTTTAGTGGAAGTTTGGTTAACAACTACATTCATAAATATCCAGTTTAGCTTATTCATTTTCTGAGAAGGCAACCTTCTAGTGAACATATATATTTTTTATAAGAAGACATTATCCTTATTATCATAACTTTCTGAAGAAAAATTACTATTTTCATCAATAATATTGACCAAGAATAACAGCATCAAGAGACTAGCTCTTCAGACTTCAGATAATATGTCTAGCAGGCAATTTTGACTATGAAATAAATATCTTATTTTCATAGCAGCTTATTTTTATGTATGGATTCATAACTCTATAGAATGAATCTGCATAGATTCATACCTATAACTTAAACCAGTGCCACTTCTTAGCCATATGATGCTGGATAACTCATTTTCCTCATCAACAAAAAAAAAAAAAAGATAATGTTTGATGACCATTTTTGTAGCTACGTTACAAAACGTAATATACAATGTACAATATAATACAATAATATACAATACAATATATTACTCTAGAGTAATATGTGTGGAAATTCTAAACTGTGAATCTTTTTGTAACTAGAAGGGAAAATAATCAGGTTAAAAGACAGGCTATGTGAGGCACTGTGTGCTTAATGTGGTTCCTTGCTTTAGTAGGTACTTAGTTAAGTGTGGGTTGAGTTGAAGTCAAGACACCAGCTGCCTGTTTTGTTTTCATGATGTTCAGGGGTAGATCTTTCCAGTCTCCCCTGGAAGCTGATGCTGAAATTTAAACTCATTTACTGTCAGTAAGTTTTTCCTTATGTCAAGGTTGAATTTGAACAGGACACTGTGTAAAGAGACAAATATTAGATAAGTAACTGAAAAACCTCCTGCATATCAATTACCCAATTATAAAATAAGTATAAATATTGATTGACCTAAATAAAATGATCTTCTTGTCACTAAGATTGATGAAGAAGGAAAAATGAGTACTTCAAAAGTGTTATCCAACCCAACTGCCTTGCAGAGGGTTCTAATTTCCCAATCAAATATAAAACTTTCTTTATCCTGCAGAAAAAATTGAAGCCCAAGAAGGTATCATCAAGAAAGGTACAGTCATAAAAGATACCTCTTTCATCCGTATGCAGCCATCTTTAGGGACATCTTGGGCAGCCAGAAATTGTTGTTTCATCTTCTGTGCATTTTCTTCTTTGACCACATCCTACAGTGGGCCAAATAAAACCACATTAAAGCCACTTGGATTCCAAGAATGTAGTTAGAATATCAAATATTCAGAGTATACAGCCTGATAATTACATTAGTCTAACCAAGTTACCTAATCATTGAAAGAGATCTCACGAATTGCAGACAAGAGAGAGGTGATGGAGACTTCTTAAATAACCACTAATCAGAATCCTAACTAGGCAGCACAGCTAGTGAGATCCTCAGATATGAATGAAGAGAAACTTTGAGTGTTGACAGAATACATTTGAATATTTTTCTATATTTTTTGTGACAAGAGACTGTGTTGTAATGAACATACAAACTTTCTTCCCAAGAACATTTTGTTCTATGTTTAAGTGAAAATTCCAGCTCTTTGGGGCCTTCCGTTTGCCATACTTTATTCTCTTAATCTTGGACTCTCAAAAAAAAAAAAAATTAGAAGGGGAAAATATTTAAAGAAGAAACTAAACAAAGTGATCATTGAACTACCAGAGATGTGACATATCCCTTCCTTGTACAGCTTTTTCCACACATTGTTACTTTTCATCAGTGGACTGAAGGGTTATTACAAAGAGAGATGACATGTATAATCAACAGTGGAGGATGAATTTCGATGCAGAGGCTGGGAGTCACAGACACTCCCAAACAGTGCCAGATTTCTAGACTCCAGACTAGATCAGTTACACTAAATTGACTCTCCCTAATACTGTCACACTATTCCTGTCAACTAGTTTCCTCATCTGACACTGCTCTAAGTTCAGAGAGATTAGCCTCTTTAGTCTTGGCACCATAGATTGTGTGGTTGGTTTGTTGTATGGGTGTGTATGTATATGTATCATACAGAGAAATCATTTAAGAAGGTGGGTCTTCAGTTTGAATTTCAGCTTGGTCTTCTACCTTTAGTTTGAAGGCACAGAACTTGACTTGTCCTGTCAGACCTCTAACCCCAAAGTCCATGACTATCCCTTGAACCTAAAGCAAGAGAATCTAGGGTTCCCTCTGTTGTTATGTCCAGTCAGCACCCACTCCACCCACCTTCTCTGAGACTCTTAAGTCCCAAGAGGGTACTTAGCATCTCTGGAGCATTGAAAGGATCTCAGCATGTGTTGCACTCTGTACATGAAGAATGTGCACACAGTCGCCAGAAGTGATGCTCTGCAACAGACTAGCTAGATCTAGACCTAGTTCAGAGGCAGTTCTGAGCATTTGAAAAGAAAAAAAGATGGAGGGGCTAGTGGGGTGGGTATAATGAGTAACAAACAACAGCAAGAGTGGCTGATGTTTCCATGAAGTCAGTCCCCTCAGAAGCTGTGAGGAGCAGGTTATTACAAGTTGCTTATTCTCCAAGATTGACTTGCACACAGCTTGCTGTTAAGAAATCTTTAAATTCCTTCTCCCAAGGTCTGTGTGACTCACTAATCAAGGGAGGAAAGTAGCCCTAGTCAGGCATCTGATGAACTGCCTGCCAATGTCTAAACCTCAGAGTGAGCGGCAGCCTGGTCATGGAGGCCTCCCTGTTGGTGGTTCTGGACTCACTGGGGCATCACTGATTAGACGTAGGTGTCACACATGGTGATTCCCTCAGCTGAGAGGAACACGCCCTCTTGTTAAGGATGTACTTAGGGCCAACTCATTTCTCAGCAGGAAAAAAGTCCAGAATTAGGAACAATTTTATGAATCATGGTTGGTCCAGTAGCATGGAGTGTCCAGTGAAGGTCCCTGTAGCCATATTCCCTGGGGGGATGCCTCTGCATTTTGAAAGGCAACAATGGCAGATGACAGCATTTCTAACTAACAGCTTATCCCCTGGCCCCAAAAGCCCTCTCCTTTGCCAGGAGCTGAGGACAGGTGCCTGGGGCTACAGCCGCAGCTCAGCAGGACTGGCCTGATTAGGTCACAGCCCCCTCTCTGACAGGTAATCACTGCCCCTAAAGGGAACAGAGGGTGAAAGGGGATGCAGAGTGACTTAGGGTGCTTTTAAATGCAAAATCCTAAGCAGACCCCAAGTGTACTGAAATACCTAAGAGATAGGATCCGGGGCTTTGCATATTAACAAATAAATGTAATTCTTAAGCACATCAGAATTTTATTTCCACTAGCCTAAGGACTCTGTGACCTCCAGCCCCTCTGCCTCTGGCTTCAGGAACGCCTGCACGGCACACAGTTGCCCAGGACTCTGGCAANAATTCTTAAGCACATCAGAATTTTATTTCCACTAGCCTAAGGACTCTGTGACCTCCAGCCCCTCTGCCTCTGGCTTCAGGAACGCCTGCACGGCACACAGTTGCCCAGGACTCTGGCAAGTCATTTGTTGTTTCCTTTGCTCTGAGGACCATGCCTGTCCATGTATGAGAAGGTGAGGCCCCGGGCCAGATCTGAGGCAGGGGTGAGGTAAGAACCGCCAAGCTATGGGAGATGACATCTGTCTTCTCCCTCACTAATGAGAACAGTACTTACAAAGCCAGCCAAAGCCCCAGAAGAAGACAGCCATGTCCTCAGCCTAGAGCAGATCCTAGTGTTTGAGTAGTCCTACCTCTCACCTCGTGACTGAAAATAAGACACTTTCAATTTCAGTACTGAGCGTATTTCATTTCAGTTTTCAGTATTCAGAAAAGAGAGCAACTTTCCTCTTCCTTAAATCACTAAAGCAAGAAGCTTTCTGAAAGGGTGTGACTTGGGGGGCACTCTCCATCCCCCTTCTGATGTCTATGTCAGAAGCTTTCTCTCTCTGTTTTCTTACTTCAATAAAACTCTGCTACACAAAAGCTCTTGAGTGATCAAGCCCGGTCCCTGGTCTCAAAGATAAATCTTCGGCGATCACAAATCTGACATTGTTCACTGTAAGCTATCATCTTGGGGGCTCGTCCAGGATCTTCAGGACAAGGTAAGAGCACTCGGAGCTCTAGCCTCTCTGCTTTCTCAATATACATGTTTTCTGCTTTACCTGACTAACTCTTCGGCGTGCTTGTGCGAATGAATGACACGCCCTGCGTGAAGCAAGGGATGAGCCCCGCTCTGTGGTTTTACAGTGTCTTGTAATGACTGAAGGCAGCCCCCAAAAGGGGAAGCTTGTCAGGGGTTTATACCGACCTGCCAATGCCAAGAGACACCTGCGAGGGGAGCAGCCAAAAGTGGGCAAAGCGTGTGGACTGAACTTTCTTTTTTCGGTCAGCTTTTCCTGGTCTCTTCGGTCATTTCATAATTGCATGGGAAATTGGAACTACTAACCTAATCTGTTGGGTCATAAACTTTCAAGGGACTTGTGATCCATGCTGTTATTATTTGCTTTTACTTTGATCCGTGTATGGAAGCGCTTAGCCTTGCTAGACTAGGCAAGCCTTGCTAGAAAGTTACAAGAGCACGTTTAGGAGTGAGGTGGAGCTCTAACTCCAGGAATGTCTCTCAGGCTAGAGGGTCACTCTCTTGGCCGCCTGCCTCGGGGGCCAGAGTCCTAAAAGTAAGTCTTTGTCATGACTGTGCCTCCGATCTATGCGGGTAGAAGCATTGCTGGTGACCATAAGGTTTTTGAAGACACAGATCAGGAATTGCAAGACCTGGTCAGCTTAGAAGTACAGTGGGCCGCTTCCTTTGGTAGCACTAGCTCTAAGCAGGCCAGAGAAAGCTCTCCAGTAGCTTGTGTCTCAACTCCCTAGATATTCCTTTTGTGGAATCTGTGGGAATGAACTGGAAGGATTGACCCCAGTAGCGTGAGGACAAAATCACTTTTTCCTCGTTGGCCGACCCTCCGCTACATCTTGCTATCACATATACTGGTGTGGCAACACTCAGAAGAGACATCTTGGGTTTTTTGTTCATCTCCTTATAACTCAGTGCTTCTATTGCAGTTAGGACTGTACTCAGAAATGTGCACAGGCACTTGGAAGATGGATGCTCCCCCTAGTAGTCCTAGCTTGGGAAACATTCTGGGAAAGTGACTCTGCTCCACGCTGGGTGGCATCAGAGGAGGAGTGAAAATCAGACAAAGGTCCTAATGGTGAGGAACTGGACATCAGTCTGGGATGCCATCAGGTCTACCCCTGGGGCATCTCCACCCTACCTTGGTGGGAGAATCAGAAAGGATGAGTAACATGCCTGTGTTGGTAAGGGACAGACNGGGAGCAAAGCAGAAATGAGAGGCAGAGAAATAAGGGAAGGAAAGAGAAAAGGAGAGAAAATTTTGATAAAAGAACTGAAGGACTAAGAGACATGACAGTAAAGAGAAGACAAAAGAGAGGGAGAGAAAGGCACTGTGGGAGCTTGAGAAACAGACTGAAGCCAGAAGGATAAATAAAGAGAAAGAGACAGAGACCAATGGAGAGACATATGAGAAATAAAGACCAGAGAGAGGTAAGAGAGATGAGAGACAGTTCACAGAGAAAGTCAAGAGATGATGGCAGATGATGGCTGTGAAACACAGAATAAGAAATAGAAATGGACAGAAAAATGAGAGAAACCGAGATGAAGAGATGAAAAAGAGAGCAAGAGCTCTGTGTGGCTGTTGGAGGCAGATGGCAGCCTTGTTTATCTTGAGCTGACTGCCCTCCCTCTGACTCAGAAACACCATCTCGAAGCTGCTTGTTCCCCTCACTGGGCTCCTACATGAAAGTGTCATGCACTCCCGTACTCTTCCATGTAAGCAATTATATCTGAGGATAAGCTATCACCACAATTCATTTTAAATGTTACTGTTTCCAGAGCTGCTTCCCTTACCACCCATCCCCTGATGGAGTCTTGACCAGGGTCTCCCAACCCCACGCTGGTGCATCTCTGTGTGTGTTTCTCCTCTGCTTTGGTAGAGGGCTTATCAAAAGTTAATCTGCCTCTCTCAAGGCCAGATTTACCATCAGGGAAGGATATAGATGCTGGATAGATTAGTTCACGTTTATATTTGGGCTCTGAGTATATTAATTATTTTCTGGTTTGCCATTTCATAAGGTTGTAACCTTTTCTAACAATGAATAATGGAAAAAATTATTCTAAATAGTTTGTGGTTTGCTGCCCAAGTAATATCCAATGCACTTAAACCCTCAGCACCTTAACACTTTCAACATCTTTTCCACCTTTTTGAACAAAGTGAGCTACCTTATCTCTAGATTTAAATCCATTAGCAGTGACATAACCAAGGAGACATTCAAAACAGACTTGTTTTAATTTACAGTTGAAATAGTGGATGACAGATGTCACACTAAAAGTCAGTGGCCAGCACATCTAATGCTGCAGTTGAACCTCTTATAAAACCTACCTAAATCCCTCCATGTTGCTAGGAGAGGGAGAAAAATTACATGCAAGGAAGAAAAGAGGTCAGATGGGATTAATAGGTATTGTACAAATCAACATATGACTTGGATGCTTTTTATAACTCACTGAGAAACAAATTCTTAGTGCCTCAAGTATACTTACATCAACACCCAGTTTTGTCAACATGTGGTAAAAGAAAGCATCAAGCTCCTTCTCGTCTATGTAACCTTTTTCTAAATAGAAAAAGATGTGCATAAATAATAGTCACTTGCATATAATAACATGTGGCATTTAGTAATTAACATTTAACATCTAAATTTGTTTTCGATCTCAAATTTATAAAATCCCCATCGATCTTATTTTTTACAACTCTTAAGTGGCAACATCTATTCTAGAAGACATGGGTTTAAATAGCAAATAATACATTCAAGAGTAAATGCTTTGTGCTGGGGCTCATATAAATATTTGGGAAAGAGCTATTCATTAATTTTAATCCACAAATAGACATGAGTTTTAGAATAAACTCTAACCCAAGGTTTTTGCAGTTTTCAAAAAGTTTAAGAGATGTAAGTATTGAATGTTAGTTTTCAAGGTTAAAACACATGCTTTAGATATTTTCATGTTTCTTTATTAATGAGGGAAAAGCAAATGTTGAATAGTACTTTTCAAATACATTTTTTGTGGAGTGGGGGTAGTGTCTTTTTGAAATTTGATATTTTAAAAATTCACCCTTTCTTTAAGAGACAAGAGGTGACCCAGATAGTCACTGCATGAAAATGAGCAGATTAGAGTAAAAACAAGTCAGAACTGACTTCAGATACCCGGGTGTCAGTCCCCAAGCCTCTAATATATACAGTGATCTCCATATCACCACACACACAGATTGGGAAAGAGTGGTGGGATTCAAGTCTCTCCTCCCACCCTGAACTTTCACAAGATATCTAGATGTACAACTGCAGTCTACCAAACGTCTGTTAGGTATACAGCGTGAGGTTTATTGCATTAACTGCGCTGGAAGACAACTTTTCCCGCAGGGAAGATGTACGGGGAAGGGGGAACTCTAGGTCCTTTCACCAAGACTGAACAGTTGGCTTGCTTTACTCACCCTCCACGTCAAAGCGCAGCCAGACCTGCCAGAAGCCAGCGGCGTCCAAGCGCCCCTGTGTCGGCTCCCGGGCGCTGTCCATGGTACTGACAACGAAGCGCGGGCACCGGCTGGAAAGGAACCCCTAGGGAACTTTGATCAAGCCTCCTTTACTGTATCGTCTGACACCCTCGCTTACTGCTTTTGCTCTCTGGTTTGCTTTGAGCATCTGTCTCGGGGGCGGGCACGAGGGTAGCTGGCAGGGTGGCTGCTGGCGCCTTGGCGACGCTGTGCAGTGCCCAAGCCCCCACCGCGGACACCGCTCAGAGAAACCAGCTGCTTGGAACCCGCCCTGTTCCTAGTGCGTGGCCCCGCCCCACGTGCTGTCTGTCCTGGGCAGATCCACCCGGGAGTTCTCGTCTGCCTAGTCCTATGGGGAAGTCAGGGAGAAAGCTGTTTCTGGGTGTCCGTGGTTCAATGTCTTTGCCCTTTAACTTGTGTGTCACACTCAGAGAAAGCATCCCCCTTAAGTTTCAGTATCTTCCAAACATGTGTCTCAAGTGGTTTTCTAGAGAGAGCCCCGCATTTGAAGAGCTGGTGTTTAGACCCGATTTAGAAATGTAGTGTGGGGGTGAGATGGAGAGAGGGGTGATAGTGGTGGTGGTGATAGATTACCAGTAAGCAAGGAGACCGTCGAAAGGCAATTGCTGAGCTTAGATTGTGTAGGACATGCACATTGCAGAGATAAAATGCACTATAAAGACTTGGATCTAAATAAAGATTCTACAAGGAACTGTGGTCTAAATCAGGATATTAGGATGTTGAGTGAAGTTCCTACTATGCCATGCTCTTCCAGAAAAAGATTTTCTAGGGGGAGACATGGTGGTCAACTGCAGAGTTCTGGGGTAGAAGTTTAGATAATTGTGTCTGGCACCCCAGGGCCAAACACTTAATTAAGACCAAAGACAAAAGCCATTTCAAGGAGCACAGAGCTCTAACAGAATTGTTCAAAACTTGACTGGATGCTTTGTGAAATAGTAAGCTGAGTGACACTGATGGCTTTGGGCCATATGCTTAGAACTTTTTGTTGAGAAATCTTTCGAATGAACCTGTGTAATAAACTTAGACCAAATATAGATCTTTATGGCATTCTAACTCTGATGTTAACATTCATTCAAATTTATTTTTTAAAAGCACATGTGCATAAGCCACATAAACTAGTATATTTAAAAAAAAAAAAAAAAAAAAGACACTCCTGATCAGACAGTTCCAGGTTAGGATTCCAGCTGCAGCTCTTACTAGCTTTGTGACCTGCACCAAAGGATTTCATCTTTCTAAGCATCGGTTTTCTCATCTATAAAATGAGAATTTAATAGCTTCAGAAGGTTTCTGTGAGAACCATAGACACTTACTCAGTTCAGTCTGTTCAGCTGCCCAGTCGTGTCCTGCCGGGGTCCAGCCCCAGCGGGTCCAAGAGTACCCAAGAAATGAGTGGTGTCAGCGAGGAAGGAGACGGACACACACAGAAGGTTGCATGGAAGAAAAAGCTTTTTATTTTTAGGACAGCTCAGTTTTTATAGAATGAACATTACCTCCCCCCTTAAGTCACCTCATATTACATCAAATATTGGTTTCGTGCTTCTGTCAATATTTTTCCTCACCATGGTTTTCCCCTATATATTCATCTGGAACAGTCCCGATTACAGGGTTTTTTCCTTGAATGTCCCATGCATTAGTCTTCTCACCTCAATGGCCTAACATTTCCGCTCTGACAAAAACAATGTTCCATAGATTCCAGATATAGTATGAATTCTTTGGATAATAAAACAATACATGGGAAGGGTTACAAAAACACATTTGACATTTCTGAGAATAGTACCATGTGAAAACCCTAATATTTTTCTTTACCTGAAACCACAAAACCTCCGTCTACAATAATTAACTATGAAGCAGCAAAACACCTCTATTAACATTGAGGTAATGGCAGTGAGGCTGGTAAATATAAATCTTCTATTGAAACCCTATGTTTTCTAATTCTACAAAAATATCCGTAATATTCCATGTTGTTTAAAGGAAGGGAAACAATGGACAAATAGCAGCATAGAAATAGCAATAATGAAAACCCTCTCAACCAAGGAGCAAGTAAACTGAAACAGTACATCTACTTCTGAATCTAAATGTCTCTACTCTTTTCTAATCTAAAACATTATAATCTTCTAAGCAAGCAGCCAAACTATGCCTGTGGCCTTTTCCTTCTTGACTTGATGTTTATTGTCGTGTCCTGGGCTGGAGCAATCATGAGTATTTCTAAATAGGCTTGGACTTTTCCAGCGAGGTCTGATCACTGTATGTTACATTTCCAAGAATTAATAGAAAACCCAACAACTGTAAGAAAGAGGAAGGGGACTGGGCCCCCGGGACAACCCCGAGGGGAAGAGCTGCCTTGCAGGCTCCTCTCTCGTCCGGTGACCTTGTCACAGTCTGGGCACATCCTGGTGGCTCCCAAGGGGACATATTGGGCCCCCGGGGCAGCTCTGTGTGAGGAAGAGCTGCCTTGCAGGTTCCTCTCTCATCCCGTGACCTTGCCACAGACTGGGTGCACCCCGGCGGCTCCCAACAGCGTCCGACTCTTTGTGACCCCTTGGACTGCAGGACATCAGGCTTCTCTGTCCATCACCAACTCCCAGAGGTTGCTCAGAACCTGCCATCGAGTCAGTGATGCCATCCAACCATCTCATCCTCTTTCGTCCCATTCTCTTCCTACCTTCAATCTCGCCCAGCATCATCTTTTCAAATGAGCCAGCTCTTCGCATCAGGTGGCCAAAGTATTGGAGTTTCAGCTTCAGCATCAGTCCTTCCAATGAATATTCAGAATTGATTTCCTTTTGGATTGACTGGTTTGATCTCTTTGCAGTCCAAGGGACTCTCAAGTTGTCTCCAGCACTGCAGTTAGAAATCATCGGTTCTTCGGCACTTGGCCTTCTTAGGGTCCAACTCTCACATCTGTACATGACTACTGGAAAAGCCACAATTGTGACCTTACAGAAAAAGAGAGAGACCTGAGGGAGCCCAGTTGGAATCTGTGTGTTGATGAAGCTGGAGGGTGCAGGGGAGGCAAGTGGTTGTCGGGACAGACCAGCTGTGGAGCCGAGGTACACCCTGAATACCTCCTGGGGGTACTCAGACAAAGGGATTCTGCTGTTGCTGCTGCCTGTCGTCTGCATGGGAGTGTGTGTGGCTCGTTTGCCCCTTCTCCTTAAATATAGACACCGCCTTCCCCAGGCTAGTGGGGAGGGAATGATGGTGCCTGCAGAAGTTCTTTTCCGAAATATGTTTGTAGAACTNAATTCTCCGGGCGAGAATACTGGAGTGGGTAGCCTTTCCCTTCTCCAGGGGATCTTCCCAACCCAGGGATCGAACCCAGGTGTTCCACATTACAGGTGGATTCTTTACCAGCTGAGCCACCAGGGAAGCCCAGGAATACTGGCGTGGGGAGCCTATCCCTTCTCCAGGGGATCTTCCCAACCCAGGAATTGAACCAGGGTCTCCTGCATCGCATGTGGATTCTTTACTAATTGAGCTATGAGGGAAACCGTAACAATGTGCAATAAATTGTAATTGCTGTGGTCTTATACAGTATGAGGTCGCTATATATATGTGTGTGTGTGTGTGTGTGTGTGTATATATATATATATATATTTTTTAATGGCTTAGAAAAAATAAGGCAGGTCTGAGAAACTGTTAGAGCCAAGAGAAGTCTAAGAAACATGATAATTAAATGTAGCATTGTATCCTGGTTAGGATCCTGGAATAGAAAAGGCATTAGGCAAAAAATAAGGAAATTTGAATAAATATGGATGTTAGTTAATGATAAGTTATGTAGAAGCAAACAGGTCTGAGTTTAGGGCCAGTTTTGCCTTACTAGCTGTGATGTTAGTCGATTTACTCAAAAGCCTCACTTTTTCACCTGCAGAATGGAGATAATAGTAGGATTTGCTTTATATTACTGTCATAAAGTTTAAGTGAAAAAATACATATGCACCTCTTAGCATGTAAAACAGAGTAAACATTCAGTGTGGGTTAGATACTAAAATGATGAATCTTCTGTGCATACACATTTAGAAGATGGTGATGTAAACGTCAGGATTTTTTAGGAGTATGGTTTAGGTTAAAGGAGGAAAAACAATATCATCACACTTGGGGAAAATGTTGGATATAAAAATTGGAGAGCAATGCAGGAGGATAGATTAAGGGATTTAGTGTCATATATCTTCACATCATATGTGGTCCTGGGAAACTATTGGATATAGTGTCAAACATCAGTCAGGAAATTAAAAAATGGACTCACCAGGTTTGTTACTGATCTTGCTTTCTGGTAAATACGAAAAAAGGGAAAACAAGGCAAATGTCAGATGTAATAATCAAAGTCAGATACAGTGGATGGTTAAATAAATGATGGTGAATCACAACGATAGGCTTTGCGGCATACACAGAAAACTTGAAGCTTGATGACACACACAAAAATGCTTAGAATATAGGTTTAAGATTAAAAAGTTACAAAAATGCACATATTTCATGACCCAAACCTTTAAAATAAGTACATTTCTACACACAGAAAAAAACTGTAAGAATGTACACTAATGATGTAAATGTTTTATCTCTAGATTGAGGAAAAGGGAGAATCATGGGTGATTTTAATTTTATTTGTAATTCTACTTTAAAACTTTCTACAGAAGCTTGTAATTCAAACATAGTTTTTGAAAGTTGTAAAAGTGATATCTCGAGAAAGAAGTACAGCTACAAGGTCTGCTGTTCTTGGAACTGAAGAACAAAGGGAACTCAGACCAATTTCCAGGAGCCTGGCATGTGGAGCTCTCTGGGGAGTTGTAATTTCCATTCAGTGACTTATTTTCATTTTTTTTGTATCCAGATAGCAGTCAAGGCAGTGATACTTTGCATTCTCTCAAGAGTAAAGGTTTCCTTCTGGGAAAATTCCAAATCTCTGACAGGGAAGAGAGTCCTTAGGAAGGTATTTAAAGATACTGATCAGCAGAAGTCACTTTTAAGACTTTCTCACTGAAAAGGTTCTGCCTGGGACAACGATAGGCTTTGCGGCATACACAGAAAACTTGAAGCTTGATGACACACACAAAAATGCTTAGAATATAGGTTTAAGATTAAAAAGTTACAAAAATGC